CGAAGACAGTTAGGGAGATTGAATTAAGCATGAAAGCGCAAGCGGACATAGCGGAACGTAGGCAGAAGAAAGAAACGGTTTTAAACAAGTGCGAGACCACTAAGTGTCGAGATTGCGGGCGTTACTGCTCCATCATCGTCGATGTTATCAGCGGATTTGCGCAATGATTTTGAGAGAGTACATTGCTTCCTATGAGCAGAGTTTGTGTATCGATCACCTCTAATGCACCGTTACGGTCTAATGCATTTGGAGAAAAAAGGAAAGTTCAAAGAGCATACAAAGTTTACAAGTAACTAATATTCGGGAAGATCATTAGTTTTGAGCAGTCAATGGTACTATCATATTTATTAATCATAATGTGAGAGAGTAGAACAAAGTTGTTACCGTAGCTACCATATCATGCTTACTCACTTGGAATTGGATCTCTCCTAGGCCAAATAAGCTTTTTTCTGCAGCTCCAGTGCCTCGCGGTTTCGTGACATTTAGCATGATTATATTCCACGAGTCGGATCGTTGGTTCGGCCATGCAACGCTCCTTCTGCATGTAAGTGGGTATTTTCCCTGAACATTTTAATGGAGGCCTACTCCACGCCAAATGATATGGGAACTGCTTTGGTATTGGATGCTATTGGTCCGAATTGAATGAAAAATAACTAACGAGCAAATAATTAACCATACTAGATTGCAACTTGTTGTTCCGCTCTTTCCCCACCACCAACGCCCCTCACTGCGAGTATGCCAAGCTTATGTGCCTCGCAACCGAAGTATGTTTTTTTTGCATCGAGCACATCCATTCTGTGCACATCTCGCTTACTACGGATGTATCCTGCTTATTCTATTTGGCAACGCGCGCTGCTTGACATCAGTAATGTTCAATTTGTTCTCTTGTGTCGTGACTCAGCGAGAACTTTACAGTGATGTCCTGTCTTAAAGGCAGTTGGCACGATGATTGGTGCTCGGCCTAAAATGCTAGTAGGGCGCTATATAGTGGGGAAATGGCGAAAGAACGGAGTGAAACGGTCAAAATCCTGCGAAAAAGCCTCCGTTTCACTGTGTTGGTAATCAATTTTGGACGAGTTTCCCGGAGGCACCTTGCCAATAACCGCTACCGAAGGTACGGCTGCATATGTGTACTCATATATCCATGCAGCATCACGGCCGCTTCATACCAATGCCCTTCGCTTCATAATTTGCTTAGCAAATGAATCGATTAAAGCGTCTGGAACAGTCGTCCATTTTGCGGGCGAAGCGTGGTGGCGTTTGGACGTAAGTTGGGCTCATAGGTCCCTTATAAAGGGCACCTTTCCATGGAAAAGGCATTATGCGGCGCCTGCTCAGGGTCCCGGAATTCCGTCCAGCCAGGCGTATTAGTCCTGCTCGTCTTTGAGGATTTATCGTGTCCAACTGCCTTTAGGTCTACTGCGTAGTCGAGTATGCATTCGACCATCTGGTTAAATATGAAAACAGCTATCTGTCCATCCAGGTTCTTAAATTTTGATTCTATTCCTTTTTACCCCAAATTCATCGACTTTTCAATAAATGCGAGCATATAGTGCCACACTAAGCACTAGAGCAGCCCCCACCCTGAGACGCTGCCGCATCTTTCCGCGGGTGGGGAAAAACATGATTTTTGAATTTTTCAACATTCTACTTTTTGGGCCGACTTTTCTTGCACCTTCTTATTCGCCACACTAATTGAAAAGGGCTATGCATCGACAGATGAGCAACTCCGCCCATCTTTCAAAAAATTCGTTTCAATGTCTGAACCTTCAAATCTCTTTCTAACCTCGTTAATTTCACCTCCACTCTTCACACAACAAAGGTAATTATAGACGCGCATATGCGTATTTACCCAATGAGCTCCACCCTTTAGCCACGCTCATTTTTGCATGCTTTTGCGAGCTTTGATATTTCTTCAGAATTTTCACATTTTCGGACCGCTACAGGAAGCCCCGCCCACCGTGAGAAACTCCGCCTTTCTCGCTTCCTCATATTAACAGGTTAGAGCCTCACCTTGCAGACCAGAGGGTCGCTCGTCACTCGGATCAAAAAAAGGCAAGCAACGGAGTTTGCCCGTTTTTCTTTTTTTTTCGTTTTAAGTGACAAGCTCTCTGACCTAAGAGGTGGAGCTCTAACCTGCTGATCTGGGGCATTTTTCAGAAGTAGGCGGAACTTCTGCGAAGGGAGCGAAGCTTCTCACAGTAGGCGGGTTTCCTGTAGCTGTCCAAAAATGCAAGATCTTCGAAGAAATATCGAACTCTTGCAAAAATGCTAAAGTTGGCGTGGTTAAAGAAGGGGAGCTTATTGTGCAAATGCATGAATGCGCGTCTATGATTACCTTCGTGACGTGAATGTGAAATTAACGAGGTTAGAAAAAGAATGAAGATTCACACTCTGAAACGAATTCTTTAACACACAGTGCACCGCTGTACTGCGCGCATCTCCGGATCATTTTATCATTTTTATCGGTAATTCATCAGTAATTTCCTCCCTTTTCTCAATTGTTCATGAGGTGTGTATTAACAGCAGCGGAGCATGAAAAGAGAGCCAAACTAATACAATTAAATACAGCATAGAGACAAATTCATGACACACGATGTGTGTCACGCGGTCCGGAGCGTGTTGAAAAGTGGGTGGATTTGCTCATGTGTAAATGCACAGTACTTCACAGCTAGTGTATACGAGCAAAACAACAAAAAAACGAAAAAGCCACAGAACTGGAAGTTATAAAATAAAATTTCAAAAGACATGTTCACATTGAGATGTGGGCGTGGCACGTGTGGGCTGCAGTAGTGCCTAGTGCGCATGTTTAACCGTTTTGAATTTGAAAAGTCTTGAAATCGGTTGAGAAGTCGTAAATTCGGTTCTGAATCCGGTGCATTCCAAAGAAAAAGGCATAGAGAGATAGGAAGTTCCCTCGTAAGCACTTTGCTATTCCTGTATAGGCAATGAGTGGGGTGTCGGTTTAGTGGAAGAGGAAGTATACATCTGACTAATTTGTTGTACAATAGATTACAGGAAATATGGGTGACAATCAAATCACAAATCTTTGATTTTGCCTACGCCATCGACGCCAGACACAATGCGCTGTTACTGCGAGGATCCACTCATGCTGTATCGTAAGTGAATTATTACTGGCAGGCAAGCCCAACCAGGTACGCGGGTAGACGGCTCCTTAGGTGGCGAGTTGCAACACTGGGTTTCGGTTCCAACTTTATACCGCGGACGCGCGCGAACAAGACGTTGTTGCTCCTTTTGATTTCCCTAAATAAGAAGTAAAACAAAGTCGTCCTCGAACCCTTCAGCAGAAAAGGAGCCTTCTGAGCACCTCCGGAATGACGACAACAACTTTCCATGCTCGCTGGCCTTCCCCACCTTCCTCTGCGACTGTCGTCCAGTCCAGCTTGTGACTGATATTCCCAGTCGGTACTCGCACTATCCGGGTATGTCCGCAGCGGCATCCTTGTGAGCACGCATGACTAAACTTGCGCAGACGATGGGAAATGCTATAAGTGATACGTGGGTCCACGATTAACGAAAGAATGCATTACTGACGACTTTTGGGGGCGATAGCTAAGGTGGCGAGCTTGCCGCAATACCTGAAAGCTTTTGCCTGAAAGATTGACGCTGGCGTTCCCATCACGAATTGCTATAACGCTGGCAAGGCATCCAGAAATGCAGGTACGCAAACCTCCTTCATCTGCGCCGGTGAGGAAGGCACCGGGATGAGATCACGAAGACGTTCTGGCTAACGCGGCAATCAGACAGCGGGAATCCCTAGCGACCGTTCATTTGAAAGTTTATCCATTGCACGTGAACAGCATGTGCAAGGGTGCACATTTAACATCGCACGCGTCCTCGAGCCCGAAAGACACATAAGTACATGTCATCGCTTTCGCACTGAGCTGTTTTTCTTCTGGCTACTCCTGAGTGTTTGGGACGCATTCTTATGTTTGGTAGTTAAGTTTTGGCTGGTTAATGTGTGAGATTCCTTTAGGACATTTAATCAAAAGGTCAAACTGTACCTTCATTTACTCCTATTCTTGTAATGAGCGCAGAATTCTCGCTTACTTTGATAACTCTATATATTCCACCAGATCAATTGTTGGGTGGTGTGCAATCGGCTCTCTCTCCGCGTGGCCAGTCTTCGTAAAAATGCTCCGCGTCCACCTTTAAACAAGTATGACGCGCTCACGTTCTTCTTTTCCTCATGCTGTTTTTTCATTCTCTGTTTCTCAGTCTGTTGACACACTTCCTCGCGAATCACTCGTAAGCCGTGGATGAGTCCTGTTTAAGGCCATACTAAGATCGATCTGGTTTAATCGAACCCTACTCTCTGGTATTCCATTCAGCGGAATTACTCGGTCAAATCCGTACAACAGGAAGAATGGACTTTCACCAGTCGCTTTATTATTACATTACCCATACCCACATTATCATTACCCTTATTCATTACATTACATTATATGCGAGAACCACATTCGGAAGTGTCACATCCCATAGTTCAAAAACTCTATTTCCTTTTTCAGTATTTTCTGTGGGGTTTCTATTGCTTGTCGCGCCATTCTCCCGCAAATTATATCCTTTCGTAACTGTGTGTTCAATCTCAGAGATCCTTGTGAAATCACTAATTTACTCGTTCACGAGCTCGGTGCCCTTTCGTGTGTAGCTGTCTAGGCTAACGGCCTCCTTCACACACCGATCCTGAGATGTCACTTGTGCAACCGAAGCTGCCCCATTGTCTTTCAATGGATACGCTCCTAACCACTTGGAGAAGTGATCCACTAACACCAGAATGTATTTCATCCCACTGGTGCTAAGTCCCATCTCCAAAATATCAGCACACATACAGTCAAAAAGGTTTACTAGCTGCAAATAACTTTAACGAAAGGCTACGGCAACCCCGCACCCGATTTGCGAACTCTTTCTCAATGGATTCTCGGAAGAACGATTTATCTTAGTATTCGACACATTTCCTCAGCCGAGAAATGTCCCGTCAGTCATTCCTTATGTGCCTCGTATAACACTTTTTTCCGTTCCGACTTCTGGTCTACGGGCACTACCGTTCCGTCTTCTCGGAGCAATTCCTTCTTTTGTAACAAAATCAACTGCTCTGAGCCTATGGTCATGCCAGGGAACTTCACCTCTTCATCCGTTTTGTTCGCTTTTAAGTTCTCTATGACCGTGCTGTAATCTTCATCATTTTCCAGCTCTGTTTAACCATTCCGGCCTCTCTGCTTCATGCACACTACACACGATTTTGTCTTCTCCTGGGCAACTTATCATCCGCCTTAGCATCGGTCGGTATTCCCCTTGATAGCGCGTCTGCGGCAACATTCGCCTTGCTCTCGCACTCGCAGAACGTTCTGCCTCTTAAACGCACGGTGAATGGCAAATGATCCATGCACTCCATGCATACCATATACAAAGTAGTGCGCTCCTCAATGCTATTACAGTAGCCAGCGCCTCTAAGCCGGTTATATGGTGATTTCTTTCCTTGTGAAACCTCTTGCCCTCTGTGATACTACTCTGACCCCAGAAGCATCTGTGTATAGCGTGAAAGGTCGCTCTCCACTTCGTGCTGCCATCAGGTTATGCTGGTACCGACGGCCTTATGAGGCAATTTCAATTCTTACCACAAGTTCTTGAGCAGTACTGGAGTAAACCTTAAGGCAAACTTTCCTGTAGTAATCCGCATAAGCCTAAAAAGGTACGCATCTCTGCGAGGCACGTAGGCTGCGGATAGTTCTGAATTTTCTCGATTTTGGCTGGGTCCGCATGCACTCCTTCCTTGTCCACTTCATGCCCAAGGAATGCTACCTTTTCCCTAAACATCCACTTCCGGGATTTCAGCTTCAGATTTGCCCCATTCATGGCCTCCAACACATCTCTTAGTACCTCTATAAGGCGCTCCTTCGTGTCTGTGGCTATCAAGACGTCATCTATGTACACGAAGACGTCCCTACCGAGGGCTGTGTCCATGTGTCGCTGAGAATGGGCTGGCGATGTACATAACGCGAATGGTAATACTTCAAATTGGTACAGCCCTTAAGCTGTCACGAAGGCTGTGGTCAGTGGTATAGTGATATAGTGTTGAAGTTCCACTACCTAATGACCACGCTCGAGTTGGACTGTAAAGTGCCAAATAGTAACACAACACTTTATTAGACAATTCGAACGTGTGTTAAAGGATTAGCTGAATTCGTACTCCTTAGTATTGTATTGAGACAGAGTATCCACGGTGGTCCTTAGTGAGAGCCTGAGGCGACGATCGGTTGAGAGCGCGAAGCTGTAACAAACCTAGTAATCACGTACTCTTTATATACCCTACCGTAGATAGAATAATAGTCTGCTCTACGATCTGAAAGACCAAATAATAGTCTGCTCTACGATCTGAAAGACCACCTACTGAGCTGCCTTGATCTGCCTGCCAGATCACGTAGCCTTAGCTACACTCCCAGGCTCCTCGAATTGTCTGCCATCGAGCTGCTCCAGCTTGGTTCGGGCATCCCGTATCCTCTCTCTGACTTGTTTCCTGGAATCCGGTACCAAGCAGAGGGCTCGATGTCGGTTATTGGGAATCAGGAAGTTTATCGTCGTCTTCCCCACGACTGATCAGTACCAGCATGTCTTGTCTCGGTCTCTGCATTTGTTCCTGCATCGCATTAGGCCGTGCTGACATCTTCTTTCGTCGATGATGATCCTTCGACGTTCCTCGCTATGCATGTATCTCGGACAGAGTCCGAGTAATGGGCGCCGCTCCTCTTGCGAAAGACGCATTCGATGAAAGGGACGATTTTTGAGGCATCGCTGAGTTTTCTTTGCTGCAGTACTCTGAGGCCGAACTGCAGTCCTGCCACTTCTTTCTCAAGCGAGTCTTGCGGGTTTCCTTTGCGATCCTTGAATTCTCGTACGTTGTTATTATCGTCTTCCTCATCATTGTTTTCCTTAATCAAACTGTCGAGGTAATCATCATCCGATATTGCAACACCTTGTTGAGCGACTCTTCGGAATCTCCTCGATCCTCCAGTTTCTGCCTTTCAGTCAGGCCTTCATCCAGTTTAACGTTCCTGGCTAGTTTTTGCAGGTGCTCTTCCATAAAGTTGAACTTATTGAAAAGGGGTCATCAGGGTCAGAGCACGGTATTATCTTTATTTATGGGATCAGTCGCCCTTTTATTTCATGACCCAGCTCGTCCACGATTTGATCCGGTATTGTAACATTCACGTTCATCGGCACTTCTCTTGTATTGAAGCCGTTGGTTAGATATCGCTAATCTTCATATTCAATGCGATGCCGTTTGCTAAGACGACCATCATCAGCTATTAGAGCCCGTATGGCATCCAAGAATTGCAGTCTCTGCACTGGGCGCTTCAGGATACTGGAGGTCGTAGTTGTAGTGTTGAGCAGCTGGTTTGCTTTCAACAGGATCTGACCTCCTGTCTCGTCTGTGCACGTGGTTGTGATGAGGTAAGTGCGTCAGCGAAGCGTCCAGCATTGTTGTTATTTTCGTTTGCTTGCGTATCTCCGCCAACGTCAGGCTCCTGTTCTCCTCCAAACTTCTGAAGTAGTTTGCTTATTCTCATGGGCCACTTTACCGTTCACTAAAGTTGATTCGCTACCGTGGTCTAAGATCGTACCGCACGTGGCCTTCTTGACGCGAAGATCCTTTTTGTGTCCGAATGCGATTTCCATCAAGAGTGGTCAGTGAATCAGTAGCTTTGCCCCAATATACCAACTGCGTAACAGACGGAGGAAAGGAATCGACGATCGGGTCAGTCGTTGAAGATGAAGATGAGCAGAATGCGAGCAGGCGGAAGGATGCGGCGACACCGCACGCGGGGAACGAAGACGAGGACTGACTGCCAATGAGACGACGGGCCCAAAAATGATGACATCTAGGCAGGTCGAGTAGTCAGGGAGTACGGTAATACGCGACAACACCCACCTCAGAGCGGTCCTTTGAATTGTTCTAGTACAGCTGTAACTGATTTGTAGTATGCAGTTTGATACTCGACTGCGCAGTAGACATACTGACGGGTCATTCACTGTAGAAGTTGTGCGGAAATCTCTAACCAGGAAATGAGGAATATTAGTGATTGTCGGCAACGGGTTGCCTGACGAAACCAGGAAGAGACAGCCGCTGTGAGTGAGATGTGCCTGGAATGGATGGTGCGAACGTGGCTAGACTCCGCGCAAGGCTAGCTGGAACTTGAATTATTTTCCCGCGCGCGCGGACTTGAACACAACAGTGTGTGAATTGTGGCGCAATCCCACGTGCCTTGTGGATCTACTCCTCTACTGATAGTATTAGGGTCAATGAAGAACACAAAATGACTAATCTGATAATCTCAATCAATAACAGTGACCACACAGAGGTGTTCATCTCCTATCTTTTTTCTGAATCCCATTTGTCGTGAATGCTTCACACTGCTGTTGCGGTATCATTGAGAGGGCTAGTTATATACCCTCAGCCATTTTGTGATCTCTTGCAAGTATGTCGATCCGTTTTGCTACTCCTTGTTCCTATCAAGATTCCCAAGTAGTGAACGACTACACACGTGAAACAAGAACTACTTACCGCTCCTGGGGGTTGGTTCACCGGCCCGCACTTCTGTCCTCCTTGGTACTAGACAAACATACCTATCTCTCGAAACATTGGCGACAACTAAGCTTGAGGAAAGATATAGGAGGTACTTATGTACCTCCTGCGCATGTATTTTGAACACGCACGCTCTTGCTGCTACCGTAACCTACAAATCGGGCACGCGCCCTTCATTTCATGCACGCTCCTTTCGATCAGGCGCCAAAAAAGGCGAGAAATAGACATTCTAGGTGGGTACTCGTCCCAGAACTGGGTATAAAGACTTGTTTTCCCTCCTTATTTAGGTTTTTCCCTCCGACTGCACCCGACCAAGGAGTTTCGACGTCCCCTCTGCTCTGCCACTAGTTTTCTTCGATTATTCTTTCGTAAGTTCGACGTTGCACAGGCGGCGCCCCTTTGGATGGGACTTGAACACAACAGTATGTTCTTCTTCGGAAAATTGATAATGAGAACTCGTTCACAAAACACCTTTATTGGTGAGCTTTCGCTGTCTTAACAGCTTCGTCAGACCTTAAATGAAATCAAGTATACATGGTATTACAATTCCTAACAACTAAATTGCTCATCGTATGAAAGAAGCTACTAGAGAGAATACGTGGACAATACGCGACGTCTCCACTAATTTCGATGATACTATGGCAACTGAAGAACAGATAAACAGTATGATGCAGAATCATAAACAAGAGTGGAGGGACCAACTCCAATTCCTTCTCACGCATAAAATACCGCCTTACAACGAGGTGACATTCCTTGTTTCTTTTGCTGTGATAGTGGTTATAGACATCTAGTAGGCCATAACCGTCCTAAATTGGAGCAAAAAAGACTTTTCCATTAACACAACAGGTGTTCGAATTGCAAAGTACGGGGGCATTCCACAAAGGAATGCACAGAGAAGGATGCAGACTGTGTTCTGTTTGGAAACACCACCACACCCTATGCTCCATGCGCATAAATACCGGAAAACAGTAGTACAAAAGATATGAAGGAGAGAAGAATGAGAGTCTTCGCTTAACCAGTCAGATACATTGCAGCGGACACTCCCCAAGGAAGGTCTGGAAGATCAACTCGGACTCCTCGCTGATCACACAAACTCTTCACTATCTATGCATTCGTTCTGAGTAGCCTAATAGTACAACTTGTGGACTGACCAAGGTTGGGCGTTGGGACGCGGAGGGCTCCCGACAGGATTCTACTATATATGGCCCGGGTAGCCACAATAATCGGCAAAGCTGCGCGACTCCACGAGGCAACCCGACATTTATTGTTCAGCACCAGGTTCACTTATCAAGAAAGAACTGGGAAGCAACTTCAGAGCTCTATATCCTTGTGGAATGCGACCAACTACGAGCGATGTTGATGTCCCAAACGTAATCAGCTTCCCTTCTTTATCCGCCTGAAATGGGATATCTCCTGGCAAGACGGCAGCAAACTGGCTGTTGCAGTGCATATGACCGGAATATTGGCGCCGACAACCACTGCTGAAGCGCACGGCTTATTTAGAAGTGGAAAGAGCAGCATTATCGAGATGTCATACAGTTGCTCACTGATAAAGGATTTATTCATGATCCTTGCTTCGAAGAACACTTGAAGAGACACCTGGAGAAAGAGGGAACTTGCAAGCTAGAAGTGAGGAGCGGGAACGGCCATGACAAGAAATATGGTAGACGCTCGCGACGACGTCATGAAATAATGAGCAAACAAAATACAGTGTGCGCTTGAACCTTTCTGAACCGTAGGAGCACATCTGCCTGCAGGAAGAAACCATAACTTGGAGCTGCACCTTTCCAACACCTTTGCGTGGGAGTATGATGCATGGCTTAATACGGAAGGGTTCTCAGTAGACGCCGAATCTGCTATTCCCTGAACTAGAATCAAAATTGAAGAAGTTATAGCTGTTCAAAGCAAGCAAACTCGTAGGTGACACTAAACTCACAACGAAATCGCAACGGAGAAAGTCCCCCAAAAAGGAGAAATGTGCATGCGCTCAAGCACATTTAAAAATCTGCAACCTAGATCTTTACAAACTCGCTATTCCCTCTCCAAAGCTCCACTCCCAAGAAAGCTATGAATATCCAAACAGAGCGTACCTCTAGAACGTTCCTTTTATTTTGCAACACACGTCGCGACTTGCTCGCTTTAGAGCAAACAGTGAAAAACGTTTTGAATGCACGCGAGCAGTCTTTGAATGTGCACGAACAATTAAATTTCATGAATCCTATTCAACGTAATCCACTTTTTGCAATTTTTTTGTCATTTTTCTTGGGTAGCGAAAAGCGAGACCCACGTTAGGACGGTGTCGTATTTAGCTGAAACTGAACACAACGTGATGGCGTGCCACATCTGCAGACCTGTATAATTTTACGTTCATGGGAAGCTG